ACGTCTATGTGAAGCTGGAGCAGATCTAGCCACCATCCTAAAACGTGTCAACTCGAGAAAAGGCTACCTAGATGGGTCGGCACATCTATGGAAAGCAGAATGCCCCCCGTCGACAAACTGCGCCCGATTCCCCTCCCAACAATGAGCAGTCACGACCCCCCCCCTCCTTACAACGGCCCTGGGACAAGAAAAATCAACTATCAGAAAAATTTTCTCAGCACAAGTACCACCCTCCCGGCAACCAAATATGACCCCCCCCCGATGTGCTCTGCCGAAAAAGTATCGTCCAGCGAATACATAGCGGACTTGAAGAAAAAAAAGAGAAAAGTCAATAACCGAAACGATTTTTTGACAAAAATTTACCGATCCCTCCCTCCACATCCCCTCCCCCTCTTCCACACGCTAAGGATCCCCAACGTACGACGTGCCCTGTTCCAGACTACGTGGTTTGCGAGACATTCTGATCGACTATCGTTAGAGAAAGTTTAAAGCACCTGTTCAGTAATGAGTAGCAGTAACCGCTCAAACATTTCGTTGCCCGATAACGATGTGAGCGCCATGTACAAGAATAATCCGTGCAGCACCGACGTAGGAATCAGTTGAAGTGGATATGGTATCAAATAGTGCGTAGAAAACAGTATCATCACATGAGCGATCAAAGTTGCAAGACGAGTTTCTCGAACATTCATAATCCTTAATCATTTCACTGGAGGGTGGCTTTTCATGATAATCGGATGGGCGGAGTCTCACAGCTATTGTGCCTTCCTCATTGGCCGCGCCTCTTCTCTTTGTCGTGTTAGAAGCCGAGACACATCAATGAAGAAGTCACAATGACAGGTTGGACTCCGCCCATACTGTCAGCACGGAATATATCTTCTAAATTAAAAAGTAGCTATGCAACTTACACTTCATGCACATGCCCCTGTGAAACACGTTCTTCAACATCGGCCAAAGCGCGTAGATGTAACGGAGAATGTGGTAGAGCTCCATGCATCCACGGCAGGCCGAATACCGACAGGAACACATTTAAAAGTGCCACCACGAATAGATCGAGGTTCTGAGTTGAGCCTTTCTTCAGCCTGAAACGAACTGATCAAAGGGCGATATTGCTTAGTTCGTGATAATATTTGATTTCCGATAATAATAATAATAATAATAATAACAATAATGACCGAGGATATGAGCAACATACTTATTCTGTGGATTGTTCACGATGGCCGAGGTGATGTTTTGATCCATGAAAAAAAGAAATGACAGCGAGAATCCTAGCAAAAGGCACACAAAGTAGCCGGATGGTGGCAGTGAGAAGATGTCCGCCGGTTGCATTATGGGCACTTCGTCCCGCAATTTGAACCGATCCTCTGAAAAGCTTGCGTTTTGGATCGTCGCGAAAGACTGAGAAGTGAGAGGGAACACTCTCGAAAACAACTCACTGGCAATATCGGCGAAGCAGTAGGACCCGGTGAAAGACATGATAAGCACCGATGCCGGTAGCGCATAGTCTGCCAACCATTCACGACGTGATCGTGTAAGATATGGCGTCTGATAAATGCAACGATCAATTTCGGATTATTAACGGCCCTACAGGTGAGAACAGAGGAAAAGTGAGTGCGACCAGGGGGGAAGCATATGTATTACCTGTTTTTGGGAATGGGGTAGGGGGTGGGAGGAGAATACTGCCTGAACGGCTATCTGCCATCCACGCTCATTGATAGTTTATACAGGGAGGAGGGGTGGGGTGGCGAAAAAGACACTTTCTTCCTCGACTCATTGCGATGTAGGTCGCACTTATGAGATTCTGATTGAAAATTTTCCGCCATCAAAGTCAACAACACATTGTTCACTATCACGATACTCCGCAGAGCTTCTGGCGCGAGTGCCATTCGAGAGATTCTGGCCCCGAAAGTGATTTCGCGCCTTCTTGCCGTTAGTGTAGACCACCCTGTTGAGCTCCTCTCGCACCCGGTAATCGAAGGGTTCAGGTGAGTGACCCACTTGGATATTCCGTCCTCTTCAGCCATCCTTTGATTCCAAGTAGGCGAGAGTTTTTTCAACCCCTCGACGTGCTCGCCTCCAATCCTGTATACGAAGTTTCCAGGATGGTGCAGGAGACGACGTTGAAAGCAGGATATCCTTCTCGAGCCACAGCGTTCACTTTTAGTCCGGGGTCCACGAAGAAAATATCGGTCTTCCCATTCCAGGAACTTCCGGTCCATACCATCAACCTGCGCCTTGGCGACTGCGGTGAAGATGATATCCTAGGCCGTAGCGACGTTGTCGGAGCTGCTCGATGTTGGAGGTTTATCAAGAGCTGTCCATGGGTGACTCCGTACAAGAATTTTCGCAGCTGTTTGGAGGTGGCGTGAATTCCATAGGCCTTCTCCATGTTTTGGATTGCAGAAAATTTGGAGAATGGTTTCATATTTTGTGTATCATGAAGGAGCGAAAGAGCCTGTTCCTGCTATCGGGAACATGTTGGGTACCTTGCGCCCTGCTACTACTCGTATCCACGTCTTCTGTCTGGGCTGCCTAAATTTTACTGATATGTGACTCGGCCAAAGTGTCTTTTTTGCCCCTCCCCCCTCCCCCCGTTTTATATCAGGGCGCACCACCGTTGGGAATTTCCTCTCATACTCTCGATTCCATATTACCACTCACATGGAGATACAGTGTCGAATACTTCCTACTTTATTTTTACTATGCTGAGCAAGAAATTGGACGATCATGACCAACCTTTCTGAAGTTATACAGAAAAAGACCAAGCCATAATGTGCCAAACATCAGCAACATATACAGTATCGACGTGTCTCGTCGACAAAGAACAGCCTCCTGGAAAGTTACAGTGAGAAGCAAAACAGTCGAAGTCGATTGAAAACTAGCAGCAAACATCCGAAATATGACCGTTCCCTACCTGAAGAACCGCAGAAGTGTTGTTAAAGGTAGACAAATTGCCGCTACCGTCATTCGTTGCATCGCATCCGCTATAGTTTTTGAGGAATACTAAAAAAATATTTGATCAAAAGCAGTCAAAAATCTCCTGATATTATCGTTTTTCCATGGATTCCTTTTGCTTTTTACTTACCTTCTTGTTTTTACCTCTAACATTCAGAGGCATCGCTGATGGTGGGGACATTCAAGACCCCATTTCACTTTTATCTTGGGACCTGCGGCAGGGCAGTTCGGTCAGGAGCTTAGGGGTCAAACTGTAGTATTTACGCAAGAAGGTGATTGATGTGGGAAGACCAATGCTTTCGGATAAAACTATTCAGAGAGCAAGTCGAAAGCAAAAAATGTGAACTAGCCTCTTCACAGGACATCATTATTAGTGGAAGGATAGAACTCTCAGAAGAAGTGGGTTGGTCCCGCTCCACCCCATGCCACATTAGAAATCGTAGCTGCGTAAACTACCAAGCTATGCATTCGAGCCGTTTGTGTATCTGAGCTGTGGCTCGCAAGGGCTAGATTATGCGAAAGATCGGGTGCGGAGTGAGTCCTCAGTCTCCCCGCATGCAGGTTACAGTCATGATGCCAGCATCAGGGTACACGTCGTGATGTGTGTGTGTAATGGTGTGAAGGTACGACGAGGGGGGGGGGGTGGCGGGAACATACCCTCCATCACCTCTCTTACGCCTATTTAGCCGCGACTGACGAGTGACGCTCCTAAGATTTTCATACTTTCGAAGGAATCTGGTTTGTACTGAGTAATTGCACCACAGGTATGGATGGATTAATTGGCCCAAGCGGGATCCTGGCGCTGTAACGGCGCCCCAATTTTACAATCCCACTTTTGATTACATTCCTGTCACATGAGTCTGAGCTAGAAAACTGCGAATTCAGGAGTCTTCAAAAATTCCATTAATATTATTAGACTGAGCAGGGTTGGTTTCTCCTGACACTAAGCAAGACAACAGCGGCTAATGGATGAAATTTTGAAGAAAACACTCACTATTATGTATGGCCCGTATACTTTCTACAGTGAAGGCTATTGCGATGAACAACGAGAACATCTCTTCAGCTGACCTGAATACATCGAGAATTAGGAAAATATTCCTTCTTGATTGGTAACATAGGAAGGGTCATTGCCGAAAAATCTAACTGTTTTAGTAAGTTGCACCCTTGTCGGGTATTAGTGCTCAACTTTTGTCACAGTGGAGATTGTTAAGGTGAGAAATGCACCAGGGTGGAATAAACTCAAGTCACCGCGCCATTACCAAATCTCCAGGTTGGGCATACTTGAGAGGGTCGAGCTGTCTCAGCCTTGTGTGAGGGTCAGGAAATCCGTGATGCGACGAGTCGCGGACGCGCCGTTGCAGGTAAGGAAACGCACGCAAAATGCAATAACACAGGCCGCAGCCAAGATAACTCAAAAGGATAAAAGGATACAAGTCTTCGCCGTTGATCAATCCCTTTGTGGGATGCGGCACGCATTCTACTTCCATTCAGAATCGTAGTGGCTTATTGAATGCGATGTGGCCTATACAATGACTTGCGGGGCCAGCCGATGTACAAGTCAGTGTTTTATCCTCCCAGACGAATCTGGTACCAATTTACCGTCCCCGGAGGGTAGAAGGCTTGGTTGGCCTGGGGCGGGAGTCGACCCGGGATTTGAACCCGGACCGCGCGAGTGGTGAGCGCGCCACTTGTCACTACACCACCTCCGCCTCCCAAGACGATTTATTACACTGAATATGCATCGAATTGTTTTCACCGCCCAAGCAGACCAGCGGATCTCCTGACCCCACCAACACATTCACAAGGAAGCAAAAATGTATTGTATGACGATTAGAATCTTGAAAATACGAATTCACGGCTTTACTTGCATAGGACGATTTCGAATTACCTACCGTGTCGCCAATTTCATCAAACTGCATAGTTCAGTTGCCGAATAGAGAACTAGAAATAATTGGCAGAATAAACCGACACAGGCATACATAGCGAAGAAATCGTAGCCAAGTTCTTGAGAGATTTTGAAGATCACTGAAAAACACTGAGGTCTTGAAAGCCCGAAGTACGGGAAGCTAATGAAGCTTACCTTTAATATAAATGGCTAATGGTACAGTAGTGAGCAATATTATCATCGGTTGACCACCACATAACGAGAAGAAAATACCACCGATAGCTTGGGCAATTATCACTTTTCGAACATCTGAAATTATTCATAAATATGTCAAACAACCTAATAAACCTAATGTATTGTCCAAAGAGATCGAAAAATGGTTTTTCGCAAAAATTGTAATTAGTGTAGTTCGCTGCGGACGGTTGGGCGTGTCAGGCGGGATGAGTTTGGCGCGGTGCCAAACCCGTTCTCCACCAGTTGTTAAAGCGAGCAAATGATATGACTGTATCATATCGTTCGTATTACTCGTTTTCTACCACTTTTTGTCGCATGCGCGCTTCAACAAGAAGGCAGAGAACGGCTTTGACGGCGTGACACACTCATACTGCCTGACACGCCCAACCGTCCGCAGCGAACTAGAGTGTAACCCCTGCTAAAGGGTGGTATTTACCACTTCAAATTTCTGATCTTCCAAGTTCTATCCCTTATAACACAGTCCATCGCCTCATCATGAGGGCCGGAACCAGGCACAAGCGGACGAATACATGGCGACAGGTGCATACCTGCTCTTATTCTCAGTGTGGAGGTAGTTTAAAGGGAGGTGTACAAGATATATCCCTTCACTTGGGTTCACGTGCTACAGCCGTTAACGTCGCAAAATGAGAGCTTGCGAGGGAGCGTGAATTAGGGCCAATCCAGGTCAGCCTTCTTCACTGATTGTGCTGTTCTGAAGCAGCTACTATTGCTGAAAAATGGCTGTCCTGGCTGTGCTACAATGCACGATCCTTCAGACGCTTTCTCGTTTGCAGGGATTATGACCGACCTATATTTTAGATAGCGAAAGCTGATAGCGAATTAATGGCGCTTCAGGTGACGTTGTTCTTTCAACTGTAAAATACTTACTGATACTTCCATTCGTGTCCTCTCCCCCCCCTGTTGTGTCGTCATTGAGCACTCCAAAGGCAATCGCTGGCAGAAGACATGCGAAATAAAGGAAGACTACCGTCGAGAAGAGCTTTTGCATGGTTCGATGACCAGTAACTCCGTCAATAAAATCGGACGGATAGACAGCCAACCGTCGCTTGAACTCTTCAGTGAGACCGCGAAACGGATACCATGCATTTGGACCGAACTGAAACGAGCATCTGAAACGTAGCACAACACCAAAGAAAAAAAGAGACCTACTGATGTTCACACTCGCAGTTAATCAGCAGCAAAATAAGTAGCGCCACAGTTTGCGAAATAGTCGAGCTGCTCAAAGGCACTGCCCTCGCCAACATGAATCCTAGTGTGTGGAGAATTTTTCGCAATGCGACCTCCCTTTTCGAACGACCCTCGGAAAATATTCGCAGGAAATGGCCTACTGTCAGCAGTTGCTCCTCTGCTGAGACACCTTCCCCATCCCACCTACACGGGAAAGAGTGAGCGTGGCAAATGTAGCGGAAAAAAACGAAGTTATTAAGCGAGAACATTTCTATCAGTTTCTTTGGAAGCGAACACGGCCCCCGTCTCCTTTAGCGGCCAGACACAACTCTCCCCCTGCTAAGGCTCCCCAACGGCTGTTAATTGTGCCCAACTCAACCATGTCCCCAGATTACACATTCCATACTTTACGTTCTTCCTTAATTTGCATAAAATTTTAAAGTCGCTGCGGGGAAGACCAGCTGTCAAAAAATATTTTTACGCTGCCGAGAGAGCTGCGGAGGGGTGAGAGGTGAGGAAACAAAAAAAAGAACAATTAAAGGAATTTTCCCAGGCCAAAATATGAACCTCCTCACCCCCGGTTGGCTCTTCCAGATGTACAACGACGACATGCCACCATCGCTGATCGTATGGGTGAGTCATCTGTGCCACTGTTATCGTGGGTCAGCTCTGCCGCTGTGGTCATAACAGTGTTCTCCTTTGAAGACGTTGAAGAGAGCGGTGGGGGGTAAGCGACCAAATGACAAAGCAAGGTGGTACACAAAATCAGCAACACAACTGCGTTCGTCGAAACATACAATTAGTTTATCTAAATTGTTCTCACTCCAGCCTTTTTATAACAAAGCTCTTCAGCTCCCTCTACTAATTTTTACTGACGTATTTCATCTCTCCAGTGTAGCGCTTCATTCACGGAGAACTCACTGTATCGTTTAGTTTGTCTTTTTCTTTCTTTCCTTTTCTCAGTTTTTCTAGTCAAAATTGTGTGTGTACGCCTCTGGGGATGAAACCAATATGAACGACGTGAAGAGCGATGAGGACTATTGACAGACACCTACGCGGGTGGCCAGCGCTCAATTTATTTCCAGAATTCTTAACGAGATTCACTCCCCCAAAACTCACTGCGCCTCCTTTATACTTTCGCAGCTCTGAACTAGTTCACCAGAACTGATGAATACTGCTACGGGTGGAAAATCGCAAAGGATCCCATTGAAGCTGAGACTTCCCGGCTCATAGACTGTGAACGGTCACCTAAGAAACACTTACGATTTGTTCTTTCGCTTGACTGAGATGAATGGAGGACTTTCGTTCGCGCCATTGATTCTGATCCATGGCAAGTTCCTTGGCCGCAGAGAGCAGGGTTGATCTAAATTCGAAGAATAAAGGGCTGAAAACTTGCTCTGTTCTTTTCATTTTGTTCTCAAATTTCACTCAATTGCTTCTCTTGAGATATAGTACCGGCTTAATTGCGGCCAATTCAAAGCCACAGTCCTCACTGATTGCGTGAGCGGAATCACCATTTTGCCTTTTGCATCTGTGTACCCCTTATTTTCAGTATTGTAAAGATAATATGCCCTTGGGTGGTGTCAGGAAGGATGGAATGAGCTCACCTTCGGTGTTCTAAACCGCACCAGTGGTTGTTTTCTACTGAAACGACCACTAATGTCCGAAAATGCAGCCACAACCTGTGAGCCCAAGTTCCGCCTCCTGGGCCGCAGCAGCCCCCCCCCCCCTCCCTCCATATCAGCTGTGAGCAGAGACGTGCCCCCCCCCCCCTCCTCCATATCAGCTGGCTGTGAGCAGAGACGTGCCAATGGGTAATGCAAGATAGTAGTTCTGACTCTTCCTATAGCAAAACCTGCTTCCAAATGTTTTCCCTAGCAGAGAAGCTTCCTGTTTACCGTGTGCTCTTACGAGGCCTAAGTTGAAAAAGACACTCGATATGGATCTAATCCAAGCGCGGCGCTGTGCAATATCTTTCGGGATATGGTTCTGTTGCTGTGGACGCTGATGGGTTTGGGAAGCTGGGTTTGGCGCGCCAGTTTTTTGCAATTGTGGAATAGGCTGGCGCTGCGCTAAACGCAGCAACCTGAAACAAGCCAGCGTCCGCCAGAGAACACCGTCATGTGCCGCTCTGGCAGTGTCACAGACGTACCTGAAATTTTCAACGGACTGTGCCATCACCAGCCTCTGTCGGATTTCCATATCGGCGAACAATGTGGCGAAGGTGCGAGTCGTTTCCAGTGCGGTTTTCGTGCCTTTCTGAAGAGATACTCTGAGCATATCAGTAACTATGTCAACAGTTAGCTTTTGCAGACCGTTATCTGTGCACCTGCGCGGAACGTAAAGTGAATTATGGCGCAAAGTACCGTCTAAGCACTTTTTCTTTCCTCAACCAAACCATACTTGTTATGAATTCTTTCCATCAGTGCCCGCCAATAACGGTAAGAA